CCCTGGACCGGTGGATTCACCTTTCCCTGCTTCTCAACCTAAGCTCTAAAGTTGTCAAGGGGCTTATGTATCAGGACGAGTAGGCTGGGAGAAGATAGTGGTAACATGATATTAAAAAGTGAAATTAGACACCAAAAGTGTAAATAAGGACCAGAATATATATCAGGTATTGTGAAATGGGAAGAAAATATTCAAATGGGGAAAGGAACAAAGGAGAGGGGAGGGGAAAAGGAAAAAGGGAAATGGAAAAAATGAGAAAAGAGGGAAAACATGGAAACAAAGCTTTTGTAAATGGGGAGGGGAAGAGGGGCTGACGGACAGGGAAGGGAATGGGGAAAAAAACCCAAATTATGTCATGTACAGGTACAAATTCTTCATGATGAATGTGATCATCATGTATATCTAAAATGAACCAATAAAATCTGATTTTAAAAAGTGAAATTAGGACTGTAAAAATGAGCTGATTACTACAGACACAAAACCACAATATGCACCAACTCTGTTATCAACGTAAACACACAATGCAGTTATACCATGGTCCAGACATAGGGGCACCCAAAACTGTGACCTAGCATGGGAACTCAGAACCTGGGCTCTCTGGTCTCCTGTAACAAAAAGTCTAACTGAGCCAAGTGTGGTGGCATATCCCTTTCATCCCAGTACTCAGGGTTAGGGCTAATCGTAGCACTTGGAGGCTGAGGCAAGAGGGTTCCAAGTTCAATCCCAGCCTCGGCAACTTAGCAACTGGTAAAATTGAAGAAGTGAAAGGGAAATGAGACTAGCACTTGTGCGTGTGTGTGTGTTGGTTGTATGTTGCATGTGTTCGTGTGTCCATGAGTGTGCACCTATGTGTCGAGGGTAAGATGTGTGCATTTACAAGTGCGTGCATGTGTGTCTTTGCTCTCAAAAGTATATCCAAGGACTTTGGATTCATGTATCTGTCCCGAATCAGCATTTTTCACACAATCATTTGCACAGAAACAGATTGACAAGATCCATTGTTTCTCCTTGCCTTCCAAGCAGGAGATCATGGGAGAGAAAAGATTTTTTTTTAAGTTTCCCCAAGAAACTCAGGCACAGACAGTGTGTGATTAGCTGAGGTCCCCTAAGGAATCAGAGCTAAGTCTGGGCCCTGTGGGCCAAACACCGGGTGGCTCAAAGCAGTCCTGACATTGTTGCACAGATCCTGGGGCCCAGCTTTTCCATCCTTCGCTGTTCTCTACGAGGCCAGGCCCCAGGGTGGGTGAGCGGAGGCCCAGCCCTGGCCATGGCAGTGGGTGCACAGCCTCCTGGGAGGGCTCTGGTGGCAGGGCGGCAGTCTGATGGGGCACAAACCTAGTGCTGACCTCATTGGGCTGGGGACAGCTGGGGGTTGCCTTATGCAGCAGAAGCTGGGATGGGGTGGTGCAGGCGTCCCAGCAGGCAGACCTAGGCTCCTCCTCAGCAGAAAGCCTTTCTCAGGTCCATGCCCTCCTCTGAGCATCACAGCCCTCTGGAAACAGGAACTTTTCCATGGCATTTTCCTGGTGTAGAGGCTGCATGTCCAGGAAATGATTCATTACAGAGTCCCTCTGTGCTCCACCCACACTGGTTTTTTAGTTCCTCCTGCCCCCCCCCCCCCCCCCCCCGGGCCTTTGCTCATGCTCCCTGTCATGCCCAGAACAGTCCGGCTTTGGAACAAGTGAGCCAGAGCAGCCTTTAGGAGCAGGGCATTCCTCTATGTGTGGGGTTCAGAACCCAGGAAGCCCCCCACTTAACCCCACTTCTGGCCCCAGCTGCCCCGCATCACCTTCCCCTGAGGGCCTGGTGAGGGGACACAATCTTTCCTGCCCGTGTATGTAGGGGGTGGATGAGCATTCTCACTAGGCTGTGCATGGGTATAGGCAGCTGCTCTTGTGTTGGGAGGAGGAAAGGGAAGAGGCCAGAGCCTGGAGGCCTGCAGGAAAGTCTGCGGGAGGCAAGGCGGGCGGGGGGTGTAGGGGGGTGGTGCAGCACAGAAATAGAGGCCGGACGCTGCAGTGGGCTCCCGCACCTCCTCTCTCTGCCCAGCCCAGCAGAACTGAGTTCTTGTCCTGGAGCTAGGGAGGCAGCAGTGAGGCCTGATCAGCATCCTGGCTCTTTGATTGCAGGTCCCCCTCTTGTCCGCTACCACCGAAGTCATGCGAGGGGAGGCAGAGCCTGGGCAGGGATACTAAGCCCAGATCCTTTTCCTCCTCATGTAAACAGATGACTCAAAGGCTTAGGGACAGAAAAATAAATAGCCCTGCTGGCCACAGCCGGCCTTTGCTGCAGGGAGCTTACCTTCTGCTGGGGGAGCAGTCTGTGGCCTCGGAAGCCCTGGGAGAATGGGCGCCCACCAGCCTAGGAGGAGAGCCTGGCTCGGCTTCCTACTGTGACCTCCTTCCCCAGTCCCAACACAGGTAACAGAAAGCCCTAGAAGCCCACTTTCTTTGCACAAAGTTTCCCCATATGCAGTGATATTGAGGGAAGAAGGGCCCCTGGGATTCGTCCCCAGAGACCCTTGGGAACTGCTCCTGGAACAGGACAGGGCTGTACACTGGTGACCTGTGCGGGCTTCCATGTGAGCCTAGCACTGCCGCCAGCTCACAGGTGACTTCCTTGTGCTGCAGCCACCCGAAGAATGAGGACGGGGCTAGTCCCTGCCTGCCGGGTTGTTGTCAGGATTAAATGAGATAATATGTGGAAAATGCAGAACAGTACTGGCACATAAGTGCGCAGTAAATGGTAGCTGTTATTGTTGATGCCACCTGACTGCTGCCCTTGGGATCCGTATCCCACCCAAAGAGGCCAGCCAGGTGGGGACCCACCCATGCCCCAGCTCTGTGCAAACGTTACTCCAAATCCTGGGCTGAAACACTCTTCTGCCTCCAGCACCAGCACCACCACTGCTTCCAGATGTCTGCCCTCTGCTGACACCCAGCACTGAGCTTTGGAAACATCTGCATGGTATGTCTTGGCTCTCAGAACAGTCCAGATGTTTGGGCAGTGTGTGGACTCCCCTTTCGGGCCTCCCCCAGGAGTGGTGTGGGGGTTGGGCTGGTTGTGGTGAACAGCTGCAATCTCAGGGAGCCTAGCCTGCCCTCCCTGCGGGGGGCCTCCCACCCAGAGGCCTCCCCGTGGGAATGGGGATGGGGATGACCATCCAGACCCACGGGACCCTGTGCTGTGGGCTGGCCCTGCAGAGTTACAAGTGCCATCCCCCTTATGGGGAAGCAGGCGGAGGGGAGGAAGCACTCAAGGCTGGCGGTGGGCAGTGAAGGGCGGGAGATGTCTGCAGACCCAGAGCTGGGGAACAAGGAACAAGGAGACCAAGGTCCTGGTACTGGCTTGCTCCTATAACTGCTGTACGACCTCTCTCTGCCTTGGTTGTTGTATTTGAACAGTGATAGGCCTGCCTGGCCTCAGAAACCCTGGAAGCCTGTTAGATGCCAGCCACTTCACCACGCATCACCCCCACCCGATTCCCATTCCCCAGGTTTGGGCTGGAAGCTGGTCTTGCGGATTTTAACAAAGGCCTCTGAGGTGTGCCTCCAGATGGGGGCTGCTGGCCAGGACACTGTCTAAGAACCTGTCTCCCTCTGGACACTCTGTGTGATGTCCCTGGACCTGGTGCCGATGACTACTTGCTCTGGCCTGCAGATGAGCCCAGGAGCAGAGTGATGCCTGGTGGGGTTAGGTCGCAGGTGCTCCTGGGAGGAGGCGCAGCTGTCTGAGGGCTCTGGGTGGGTGAGGCTGGGTGTGTGCCTACCTGTGTGCACAGGGAGTGTGGGCACACCCATTGAGGGTGTGTGTCCAGGTGTTGTGCATCATTGTGTGTGAGCAGGTACCTCATCCTTGTCAAGTGTGCTTGTACCTGTGGGGCGCTGCAGGCTGGGCCCACCTGGAAACACCTGGCAGGGAGGGTCTGTGGGGTGTGTATGGAGGGCCATTATGGATGGCCAGGCCCAACAAAACTGGAGCCTGGGGACCAGCTGGGGACCCCCAGGACTCGAAGAACTTCTGCAACCTTAAGTCCAGACAGAAGTTCCAGGATCGTTCCTTTCTGCTCTTGGCCTAGGAGGCCAGGTAAACTGGGAGAAGAGGCAGTGGCCTAGAAGGTCCTTCTCCCAGGAGCCCGGGCTGCATCACTCTTCTGCCCTCTTCCCCACACTCCTGGCTGTGCCAGCTCGGGGCTTCAACTCATCTGGACCTCCTGTCCTGGGCCCCGGCCCACCACATGAGAGGATGTCTGGCCAGAGACAGGCAGAGCAAGGTACTATCGAAGCTCAGCCAGATCCTGCCCCACAGGCAAAGGCCAGGGCACCCTGGCAGCTTCATGGTCCTGTCAGCCGTAGAAACTGCCCACCACCCGTGGGGCTGCTTTTAGCCATCCTAGGCTGGACCCCCAGTTGTGGGCAGATGTTCAGTCAATGAGAACAGAGGCACTTCGATCTTACCCAGCATTTCCTGTGTGCCAGGCACTCTTTGAAGCACTGTTAGGTAATGACTAATTTGATCCTCACAAGGACATGAGGTAGTACTATTACTATTATTCCTATTTTCCAGGAAGCAACTGAAGCCAGAGAGGTGAAGCGACTAGCCCAAGGTCACACACGAAGTGATGGAGACAGGATGCAGAGTCTCTGTGTAAGTACTTAACTGCCAAGTCAGATTGCTTACCACCACCTTCTGATCACCGAGCACCCAGGATGTGCCAGGCTCCATGCCAAGCACTTTCTGTGCAGTTGCTGCTTTCATGTAGGTCCTGCTTCTTTAAGGACAGGGCTGGAGAAGAGGAAGTAGGAGAGGGCATGATGGGAACTTGGGAAGAAGGCCACTAGCGCTGAAGATGGACCCTCAGGGAATGGCAGCCCTGGGAAGGCATTTTCCAAATAGGCCAGATAGTATATATTTTAGGCGGTCTCTTTGGCAGAGTCACTTCTGCCGTTTCAGTGTGAAAGCAGCAACTGACAATATGTAAACGAAGACAGGTGGCAGAGTTCCAAGAAAACATTCTTTATGGATGGTGAAATTTTAATTTCATACAAATTTTTGCATGCCACAAAATATTCTCTTGATTTCTTTCAACCATTTAGAAATGTGAAAAGCAGTCTACTCTCAGCTAGCAGCCTGTACAAAAGCGGGAGGTGGGCAAAATGCCCTTGAGCCATAATTTGCCAGCTCTGGCACGGGTTCAGGTCTCAGACACTGCGCTCCGTGACTGCTGTCTCCTGCAGTGCCTCAAGCAGGACCCACCTCCTGTCCCAGGGTGCCCACCCCAGAGTTCTGAGAGAGAGAGAGAGGAACAGCGGTTAGTGCTAATCCCAAGCTGGGATCCAGATCTAAGTCAGGACTCCTGTAGGGGTATAGACTTGGCACCACTGTTTTCTGGCTGATCTTTGGCAAGTTTCTTACGCCTTCTGAATTAGTCGGGAATCTCTTCAGGTATGAGAGGGAGAACTTTGACTCAATTATTTAAGCTAAGAGAGAGATTTAGTGGCTCTTGTACTTAAACAATCAAGGAGCAGATCTAATAGCTTCAGGTACATTTAGATCCAGTTGTTCCAGGGATATTATTTAGAGTCTATCTCTTTTTGCTTGCTTCCAAGTTGGCTTCATCCTACAAGGTAGCAAAAAGGGCCACCCACAGTTGAAGGTTCACAGTTCCAGTTGAAGGCAAACTCCACTTCCCCAAACACTTAGCAAATTTCCAGCAGGTGCTCAGAGGCTTGGGATTGGCTACGTTTGGGTCATGGGTCTCCCACAGAAGCAGTCACCATGTCCAGGGGGAAGGGATATCTGCCTTTCCTCTCTGGAGCCAAAGCCCAAGGTTGCCCCCACTGGATCAGTGTGTCCTGGGAGTGGGGATAGAGGGGCTCCCCGGGGGGATACTGTGGGGTGGTAACCAGGAAAGTGAATGGCAGGGCTGGTGAGAACAGCGGCTAGATGTCTCTTCTACATGAGGAGGACGACAGCACCACCTCACCGTCAGTGTGGCAACAGGTAATGGGAACGTTGTGACAACCCTAAGCCACTGTAAAGAAGAAAAAAGGAAACTAGGGGACTTAGGGACCTGAAATTTGTGACATAGCCTTGGATTTAAAAAAAAAAGCCCAACAGGTCAAGTGGTACAGGCACTGTGGAAAATGGGTGCAAGTTTCTCACAAACTTAAACATAGAATTACCTGGTGAGCCAGCAAGCCCGCTTCCGGATACAAACACAAGACAAGAAGCAGAGTCCTCGGACACCTGAGTACCCTTATTCAGGGCACTGTGGTTCCCCAAGCCCGGCGGTGGGAGCAACCAGTGGGTGAGCAAGATGCAGGTGAGATGCATCTGGGAGAACGGGATTAGGCCTAATAAGGGAAGGGAATTCCAACACCTGTCACACAAAGACGAGTACGGTCTGATTCCACGTCCGTGAAGCACCTAGGTCCCGTCAAATTCACAGAGACAGAATGCACAATGTGGGTTGCCAGGGGCTGGGAAGGCAGGAAGCAGCTTCGTACTGAGTGGAGACAGAGTTTCAGGGTCGCGAGATGGAAAATCTGCACGTGGATGATGGCAACAGTTGTAGGACAACGTGACTGGACTTAATGCCACCAGGTTGTGCACCTACAATGGTTAAAACGATAAATTTCACATTATGTGTGTTTCACCACAATCTAAAAACATTTTAAAATTTAATACTAATATTTATTATTATTTCATATTATGTAATATTTTTAAAGTCCCACAGAGGAAATGCTTAGCTCCAAGATGCTTGACTCTAAACTTAACTCCTTTCACAAGCTATGGCAGGCTGGCAGGCCTGGTGCCACTGGAACAAACTCCTGCCCTAATCCTTCAAGGGCACTGAGAGCTGCTGTGTTTCTTTCCTTCCTGCCGGCCTTGCACCCTCCTTCCTTCCCCTTAGCATCCCACAAGAAAGCCCTAATGCATAAACTTTGCCACAGTCTATTTACTTGGGACCTTGGCTGAGGTGCTCACTTTGTAAAACCAGCATGATACCTTGCCAAAAGAAGTTCTAGAGAATGTTTTTAGATGGATGGATGGGTGGATGGATGGATGGATGGATGGATTAGTTGAGTGAGTGAGTGTGTGTGTTGGGGGGGTGGATGGGTAGTGGATGGATGGATGGATGAGTAAGTGGATGGGTGGGTGGATGGACGGGTGAGTTGGGTGTGCGTGGATGAATGGATGGATGGATGGATGAGTGGATGGGTAGTGGATGGATGGATGGATGGGTGGATG